AAAGAATTGTTAGAACACGTTTCTATAAGTGTTTTATTATTCTTAAAGCTTTGCAAAGATTTGCATTTGAGCCTACATCAGGAATATAATTCTCGTAATAACTACAATAAAATTGTTAATAGCATGTGTATAAAATTTAGTATTCGTTATCTTTTGTCTTACCAAAGACACTACAAAAGGCGCGGTAATAGAACCTATTCGAGCGCACATGCTGCTGGTACCCACTCCGATGTTTCTAACAACAGTGGGGAACAATTCGCCTGAGAACAGGTATACAGTTGTGAAGGAGACTGACATGCCGACAATGCCGAAGCAGACTAGAATTAATCGAAGCCATTCGATATCTGCAAACAGAGATTTAAACAATAAATGTTCATCTATAGACAAACATGCAGAAAATTTTTTAATGCAATTTGCTGACCATCAGAAACTACAATGAGTAAAAGAGCTGCGACTCCAGTGATCACGTTGCTACAGATCAACGAAACCTTTCTACCGAGTCTGTTCATCGCCCACCACGAGACGAAATTCCCAGGTATTTGTATGAGGCCGGAAGCTGCGAAGTTCACGAAAATATCGCCACCGACTTGACCTATGTACTGAGACATCCCGAATAGTCCCATTCCGCAGACGATCCAATTGAAAAAGATCGACAGTGATTTTATCCTCATGTTGGGGGTGCGTACTAGATCCAGGAACGAAGCTTTGTGGTCCAAATGTGATCGCTTGGAATTCTGAAAATATAATTAAATTTGAAGAGGGAAAGAATTCTAATGTAAAACTTATGTAAAAATTAATAATACCGAAATATTTGCTATGAAATAGCATTTGTCTTTATTTTTTACCTGATGCAAGCAATGTTGCCTGACTAACTCTGGAATGTCCTTGTTTTTAATCTTATTGATGTTAGCTGCCTTCTGCAGAACTTTGCAAGCCGCACGCTGCTTTCCAAAGGCGAGCAACCACCTAGGAGATTCAGGCACGATCCACCAGTAACTTAGGAGGATGATGGATGGCAGGGTGATGGCGATTTGGAGATGTTGCCAATGGCGAAAGAAATACCCGAGCCCGGCCAATGACATATGACCCAAGCTGAATGGTATTTGATAAAGTACTGTGATGGCTGCTCGCCATTTAGTACCGACAATTTCCATACCTAGCATTATATTCAGAGTATTAACAATGTGAGAAATTATACATAGATAGCCTTTTAGACATCAAGATATCTATTACTTACAAATAACGTAACTGGTAACCATCGTGCCTCCAGTGGCTAAGGCACTAATCAATTTCATTAACAAAAGCGCCGGGAACCATGGCACTATGGCACATCCGATACCAGAAATTAATTGCAAAACTACAGATACCATCAACGGCATTTTTCTACCGTACCTAGTACGACGATTAAACAATAACATTTTTGGTTGTTCATGGAATTGTATGTTTAAAATGTTAGGATTTTCTGTACCTGTCTGCTAGATTGCCGAATATTACATTGCCCAGGAGGACGCCGAACATCAATATCGATTGTTGAATATTGGCGTAATGTGTTCGACTGCACACTAAGTTCCACTGAAAAAATTAAATCATGAGCGAAAACGTTTAAAATAATTCTCATGAGTGAAATGATATGCCGATGAATGGTAACCAAAAATATTATTGTAATATCCTGCATTAAAGGTATGACGAGAAATGTTAAAAGTTATTTCCAATAAACCTATTTTTTCTACGATATCTTATATAAAAAAAATTTTAACGAAATACGTAAGCCGAACAGGGTGTATCCCGTATCCGCTAAGATTTATGTTGCATGTTAAATATAGTTTCACAGATCGTAGCACACTGAACAAAACTAAACTACGTCACTATTTAAAAACATACCAACCGAGTCTTCTCACTTACCCATCACGACTTAAACCTCATGAAACGCATCTAAATTGTTCTTATATTTCATTTTTTTTTTTACATCCATCACACGGTTCGCTTTCATCATTCCATTTTCGAGGAGGAGCAGGAACGTTCGCCGGAGTTTATATTAAGCAAATTTTATTAAGCGACAAAACATTTGTTAAAAATAATCTATTCGAACTCCGCCACTGTAATTCAAGGAACGAATTACCCGCGCTACCCGCTCTCGGATTCTCGAAGCGGGGAGTGATGACGCGTATAAACTAACAAGCTTTTGAACAATTACCTGGGATATTATTGTTTCCGTGAACGTACTCCTGTCGTACTCCCACTCGGTGCATTCTGTCACCGTTCCATTGACATTGACCATACACTGGTCAGACGTTTCATCACGTGCCGGCGCGGTGCAGTTGTAGTTCTGATGCGGCGCCATGAAGACGATCGCGAGCTGGTGCCAAGCAATCGGAAACTTGACGAGAGAAATCGCCAGACAGACGAATATTTGCCATTTGCCAAGATTCCCGATCGCCTCTTGCACGGCATCGACCTCATCGCCACTGGCGGCGATCTCTTCTTTATTGCCGTTTGCCACATGCTTGCCATTCACTTCCGCTGTACAACAAAATTATGTTAAATATATTAATCTATTTAAAATCAGATCTTTAGATACATCAAACTGGCTAACGTAATCAGCAAACATGATAAGATGAAATTCAACTCTTTCTTAAAGACACTTGTTAACAAAATAATTTGTTCTAATTTCTTGAAAAGTAAATATATTAATCTGCTTAGCATCAAATCTTCAGATAAATCAAACACCTCTTGAAACAATCAGCAAACATGATAGGATGAAATTTCTTTTTCGAAAATATTTGTTAATAAATTTAATTGTTCTGATTCCTTGAAAAGTAGTCAAAGTTAGTAGCAATGTTCATTTAGTTACGACATTATTGAATTGCATTATCCAATGCAATTGAAGACAATGAAAACGCGTGCACTTAAACGGTTACCAAACGCAAGTAGTGATTGCACAATGAAAAACAGTCTAATGATGAGTTACAGTTTAACTCAATTTAGCAATTAAAAGAGTGGAAGATTGCGATTAATTGTCATTTTAACGACTTTGACCTCTCGTCAGCTCTTCGCTAAACTAATCACGTTGCTCAATTACTATTTAATCAGTTCCTGATATGAATTTTTTCTTCCCCTCAAACTCATGTTTCCCGTTGCCCAATTCCCGTTTCACGCAAATAAAAAATATTTGCGATGTCAGTTTGAAATTCTTCAACCGCTAGGTACCTCTAAGTTGTTTTTTACTACTTCTGTTATGTCGTTGATTTATTGCCTCTACGTAGGAGACATCAACGCTTGAAAAATGCAATAATGCGTGAAGTAATTAAGCAGTATGCACATGAATGTAAATTATGGTTCGCCTTCTGCGACAAAATGATAATTGTCAGCTGGTTGCAAATTAAGGCACAAGTCGTTATAAAAATATTCCCGCAACTGTTAAATGGAACTACGTAGAGCTGTTAGACTCGTTAATAAAACGCTTAATCGTTCGCATATGTTATTAAAGGCACGCGCAGCGACGACAGGGTTTCAATCAAACCCTCTCTATGTGATTTGCGACCGAGATCAGTTGATGAATTACGTAAATACGATGTTTAACATATTAATATACGTCTATCAAGCGCCGTCGAAGATCCGAGATTAGTCGAACTGCGCACATCTTCTTTGAGGAAATACATATCAGAGACTAAACAATAGGAAGTGAATATCTAACATTATTGGCACATAAGATTGTTTGAGTATATAGATTCTATTACCGTCTTGAATTTCCGCTAATCAATGTTTCCAAACGTTCACTTGAACCTTTACCCCACCCAAGATAATGAATGAAAAACATTTTCTCGAACTCGACGAATCATCTCTTATCTATAGTTTAAATTACAGTTTGCTGAATCATTTTATTCGAAACACTTTTTCATCGAAATGTAGTCTCCGAAATGACTTCAATGAAATATAGTTTGAATTTTGTCGACGTCAATTAAGAGGCGAACGTTCCACTTTGGCAACTTACGCGATGACTGAACAAAAGGAAAAACGTGCGACGCTCGTAATTATACTGTTTACTTTGGATCAATTACCGTTCATTTATATTCGTCATTGCTTAACGACAACGACGACTTGTTGCCGTCAACGATGACGTCTAACCGATTGCGCAACAAGTGGGTGTGCGCCGGAAAGAAGTTCGATTGGTCAGTCGTACACGCGCTTGTCGTGCTTTGATAAGTACATATATAAGTACTTACGTTTGTGCAAGTTTCGCGTGTCAGTGGTGAGTTTCAGAGGAACGAGACTCGTACAAACGCCGCAAGTAGTTGCGAAATAAGAAAGGCCTTGCGTTCAATTATTATTATCAAAACCGACTGGAAATATGATAATTACTGGTTCAAACGGGATACGATAAGCAGAGGCTTGTCGGGCCTCGATACGACTTGATATTTCTAATTATGATAGTCTCGAATCATTTTAAGTACACGCACTTGTTTGAAAAGATCTGGGATGTAATTTTGATAAAAACGCTTGTCAATTGTAAACTTTCATATTTTAAAAAAAATCTGTGTATCACTTGAAAGGAAATTCTCAACCTAATCGGTATATTATCTATTTAAATTGCATATTTATCAATTGACACTGTATCTTTATCAACTTAATGAACAACGTATCAAAGTAATTATGATAATATCATATAAGTCGTCAATTATGCTAAATATGATCCCGTTATTCTTTGATCATGATCCTTTATTAAGTTATATAAATGTTCATAACGTGGTGAAGCTACCTAGAATAATGAAGACAATAATTATCGAGCAACACTTGATAAGGAACAACAGAGGAATTATTATGTCTTCTCACTTATCATTTTATAGAACGCTTAATCATTGAAACTCGTTTACNACTTTGACCTCTCGTCAGCTCTTCGCTAAACTAATCACGTTGCTCAATTACTATTTAATCAGTTCCTGATATGAATTTTTTCTTCCCCTCAAACTCATGTTTCCCGTTGCCCAATTCCCGTTTCACGCAAATAAAAAATATTTGCGATGTCAGTTTGAAATTCTTCAACCGCTAGGTACCTCTAAGTTGTTTTTTACTACTTCTGTTATGTCGTTGATTTATTGCCTCTACGTAGGAGACATCAACGCTTGAAAAATGCAATAATGCGTGAAGTAATTAAGCAGTATGCACATGAATGTAAATTATGGTTCGCCTTCTGCGACAAAATGATAATTGTCAGCTGGTTGCAAATTAAGGCACAAGTCGTTATAAAAATATTCCCGCAACTGTTAAATGGAACTACGTAGAGCTGTTAGACTCGTTAATAAAACGCTTAATCGTTCGCATATGTTATTAAAGGCACGCGCAGCGACGACAGGGTTTCAATCAAACCCTCTCTATGTGATTTGCGACCGAGATCAGTTGATGAATTACGTAAATACGATGTTTAACATATTAATATACGTCTATCAAGCGCCGTCGAAGATCCGAGATTAGTCGAACTGCGCACATCTTCTTTGAGGAAATACATATCAGAGACTAAACAATAGGAAGTGAATATCTAACATTATTGGCACATAAGATTGTTTGAGTATATAGATTCTATTACCGTCTTGAATTTCCGCTAATCAATGTTTCCAAACGTTCACTTGAACCTTTACCCCACCCAAGATAATGAATGAAAAACATTTTCTCGAACTCGACGAATCATCTCTTATCTATAGTTTAAATTACAGTTTGCTGAATCATTTTATTCGAAACACTTTTTCATCGAAATGTAGTCTCCGAAATGACTTCAATGAAATATAGTTTGAATTTTGTCGACGTCAATTAAGAGGCGAACGTTCCACTTTGGCAACTTACGCGATGACTGAACAAAAGGAAAAACGTGCGACGCTCGTAATTATACTGTTTACTTTGGATCAATTACCGTTCATTTATATTCGTCATTGCTTAACGACAACGACGACTTGTTGCCGTCAACGATGACGTCTAACCGATTGCGCAACAAGTGGGTGTGCGCCGGAAAGAAGTTCGATTGGTCAGTCGTACACGCGCTTGTCGTGCTTTGATAAGTACATATATAAGTACTTACGTTTGTGCAAGTTTCGCGTGTCAGTGGTGAGTTTCAGAGGAACGAGACTCGTACAAACGCCGCAAGTAGTTGCGAAATAAGAAAGGCCTTGCGTTCAATTATTATTATCAAAACCGACTGGAAATATGATAATTACTGGTTCAAACGGGATACGATAAGCAGAGGCTTGTCGGGCCTCGATACGACTTGATATTTCTAATTATGATAGTCTCGAATCATTTTAAGTACACGCACTTGTTTGAAAAGATCTGGGATGTAATTTTGATAAAAACGCTTGTCAATTGTAAACTTTCATATTTTAAAAAAAATCTGTGTATCACTTGAAAGGAAATTCTCAACCTAATCGGTATATTATCTATTTAAATTGCATATTTATCAATTGACACTGTATCTTTATCAACTTAATGAACAACGTATCAAAGTAATTATGATAATATCATATAAGTCGTCAATTATGCTAAATATGATCCCGTTATTCTTTGATCATGATCCTTTATTAAGTTATATAAATGTTCATAACGTGGTGAAGCTACCTAGAATAATGAAGACAATAATTATCGAGCAACACTTGATAAGGAACAACAGAGGAATTATTATGTCTTCTCACTTATCATTTTATAGAACGCTTAATCATTGAAACTCGTTTACCATTCATTGGGTGAGCCCCTTATAAAGTGTACATTGCTTTCATTTTTTATCTAAACAATGTTTCCTACTTGCGGAATAAAAAACATCTCCCAAGAACAAAAGCATCGATATGCGATATCAGTACGTCAACATGAAGTCGCATTCATTCGGGTGATCGTAAATTCAACTGGTTAAACTTTCTTATCGTGAAATTTTCTCAAACGAAATCCAGTAACGTGCCCTCAAACAATAAATATGTAATTCACTTCTGAAACAATGAATCAGAATTTTCAATTTTTTAATCTTCGTTAATTTTGCATTTTTTTAAACTTATCAGTTTACTTAAATCGTTCGTAGTTTCGAATTATGCAAGTCGAATTTACACGTCTACTGTTGCACAAAGCAAACAGAATGCGAGGTCAGAATTTTGACCGCGTGACTCTTTAAGTACGAAGAGTTAGCGTTTTTAATATAAACGTTGAATTATTGATTTCGGAAATTTTTAAACATAGAGCTTGTTTTTCCACGGACTAAAAATATTTATGAAGCTTTAGATTCCTCTCTCACTTCATTAACATGCAAACTTTTTTGTACAATTTGCAAGGAAAGCGAGAATTGTTGGAACTATAAATGGAAACTAGTAATGAATCGTCACGATTTATTACAAGAACAGATATACGTTCTAAATAAGTCTGTCAATACATCATATAGACAATGTATGAACTTGCAGATTAAAGACCATGGAACTTTAAAGTAGCATTCAAATTGCATTCCGCAGGGGTTATTAAAACATTATTTCAAATGTAAACGATTCATATTTTTTCCTATTGAATCCATAATTCCTCGCACATGTTACATATTATGCACATGTCTGTGCATAGTTGAAAATATAATCACGCGACAGGGTGACACGTGTGTACGGATACTTACCTGTCTGTACAACCACAGTGCATACAAATCGCGATTTACAAATTCGAAGAACGATTTAGCCAAAGTGTGTCACGATATTTCCATGCAAATTGCGTTATGGACATGTAAAACTAGGAACAATAGTCTAAGCCGTCGATTGTCCAAGGAAAATACCTGTTTTCCTTGGTGATTTCGCTAAGAAATTATCGCATTCATCATCCAGAAACGCACGATTATTATCATCGGGAAAACAAACATGATTTACATGCCCCAATGGGTAAGAGTCAATACTAGGAAGTCATGCGGAAAAGTAGATGTTATTGCTAACGCAATTTCAAAGAACCAATCATCACCTATGTTATATGGATGCATAAATATTCAGTATCCATTCGGTAATTGACATCATGTTTCCCCACAGTAAATAATTACTTAAAGTTTATAAAATTGAGGAAAATCTATGACTAATACCAACAATGTTGTTTTTATACTAAATATAATAATTATATA